GCACCTTTTCAACACCGCCATCTTTGCCGATTTTTAATTATGTTTTGGCATTGACAAATGCCCTGAAAATTTACAGATATGTAGTTTACATAATCAATAACTCGTTAAAAAATCTTCAAAAATAATAATATTTTTTGCGCCCTGAAATAAAGTGAAAACAAAAAGTTAAAAGTAAAAAACAAAAACAAAATAGTGAGTGGGTGAGCACGTTTTGACACCCCCATCTTTGACGATTTTTAATAGTTTTTTTGGCTTAGCAGAATGGCTTCAAAATTTATAGGCGTGTAGGTTACATCATAGAGAACTCGCAAAAAAAAATTCAGAAACAAAAACTAATTTTTAGGCCCCGAAATTCTTTTGGGCGTGGGCTGAACCTGGAGGTGTTCGGCCCCCGAACGCCCGAACGTTCGGTCAGGTAACCCCGCATATTATAATATATATATATATCGTCAAATATATATATGTATAAGTTGTTGTACATCTTTGAAAGATCAATAACCCTATATTTTATTATTTTCTATTTTTTTCCTGATTTTGTTTTGCCCTAAAAAAATCTCTGTGATATCAAAAAAGAAAACACTCATTTCATCTTTTGTTTTTGTTTTTTTCCTTGTGTTTATGTTTTTGATTTTTTTTCTAAATATAGGCAAAGCTCAAAAAATAGAAATAGTAGTATCAGGTTGTAGACCTCAAAAAGATCTACAACCTAGGGAGATAATCCCGGGTGCCCAGATCCCGATGTCACGCCCGGATTGGCGACCGGGTGACCGACCGGGCATGACCCCCAGGCATGGCCCCGGGCAGCCTCAGCGCCAAAAAAAAAAAAAAAAAAAAAAATCAAATCCAAAAAAATCTGAAAAAAAATTATGTTGTGTAGAATTGCTATAAACAACTTTTGGTTGAGGGTCACATCAGAACTTCTCACAGAACTAAAGATAAAAAAGAAAATAACCATATCACATTAAGCCACCCCCTTTAAACCCCTTTAGCCCCTTTAAATTTCATTTACACTGCCCTTGCCCCCCCCTTGACAGCTAACACTCAAAAAAAGAAAAGAGCCCTAATTTGGGCTCCTCTCGGAGAGCGCGGAAAAACCCCACCGTCATTTTTTTTGTGCCATGACCGGGCCACCTGGGCGTCACCGGGTGACCGGCCGGTCATGAAAATCTTCCTAGTCTGCAACCCCATAGTTTTGTTTTTGTTTTTGATAATTGTTAGCCCACAAAAAAAACTATCGCGGGTCCCGGCAAAACCTGTTGCTTTGGCGTTTAAACTTTAACGCCAAATCAACGGAATTCAACGTTCGTTGAATAATTCAACGCGGAATCTGCATTGAATCCATTTTCGGAAACACAGCTCAGTTTTATGTCTCTATCCTATTGTGCATTTTTTCTCTCTGTTCGGACTTGCAAATTTATCGTTGTTCT